CGAGCTGGGTGCTCTCCTCCTCGTCGAGCTGGGTGCTCTCCTCCTCGTCACGGTCTGTGCAGTGTTTGTGCTCAGAGCTGTGTTTTTCTCATAAGCAAATAGCCCTTATCAAGTCTGTGTGTGTATCTGAAGCCAAATTCCAAAGTAGTTACTCATTTATTCAAACAGTAGGGCAGCGCCACGGTCATCACCGAGAGGACAGAGGTGTCTGGGACCTGAAGGGCGGTCAAGGGCGGGAGGTGGGGCCCCAGGACTAGAAGCAGCAGGAGTCCCCCAACCTCACCGTCAAGGTCGCCTTGATCCTTGGGGACAGGCGACACAGTCTGGGGAAATGGACCTCTGCCCTGGGACTGACTGCAGAGGCTGTGCCCCGTGGCATGGCGAGGGCATTCCTCTGCTGGAGGGACAAAGGCTGGTAAAATGCAGTTTCAGAGCATCCACTCTGGGCCAGGGACCCCACCGCACCATACACCGTCTGCCATTGCTGCAGAGGAGTGCGTAAGGCACAGAGAAGTCACTGCCGAGGTCACTCAGCTTAGGGGCAGAGCAAGGACTCAGCCCGTCAGTGCTCCAGACGCCCTGCTCTGTCCTTCCACCTCCCCTTCACCCTGGTGTTGTAGGGAAGAGGAGGAGATTCCGGCTGCTTCTCTCCAGCACCTTCAAACAAGCTTATACCCACCCACACCTCTCTTTCCCACCTTGTCAGGGCCAGAAACCAGGGCTCTGCCAGGGCACCCAGGGACTGTGGGCAGCACGCGAGGCCCTGGCTTCTCAGGGCTCAGCCTGGCTGTGCTATAGCCTCGGCCTTGTGCAGAGCAGCCCTGGCCACCGCTGAGGCTTGCACGACTCACCCGGGCTCCTGTGTTCTCTCCACAGCAAATGAAGCTCGTGGCTGAGAACCTGAAGGAGGAGCCGCGGGAAGGCGAGAAGAAGGCGACCTGAGTGCCCGGGCTGCCCTGAGCTCAGGGGCACTGCCTCGTGGCTCCTGAGCGCAGGCGCTGCGCTTGGCCTGATGAAGCAGCTCCCGTGAGGCCAGCAGATGCCTCCCTCCGGCGTGTCCCTTCAGGGCGGTGAAGGGGGGAGCCGGACCAGCTTTTGCTGGTCCCCTCACCCTCTCCTGCCCCACGGTTTCGGCCCGAGCCTGCACTCACTCCGGCTGCCTGACCTGAGCCGCGTGCACCCGCGATCACCCACCAGCTCTCCTTGTTGCCCTCACAGGGACACACCAGCCCGCACGACCCAGGACCATGGGGTAGGGTGGCAGGTGGAGGTGAGCCGCTGCACGGTCACCAGAGCCGTTCTGAGGGGGCTTCCCGTGAGGCTCAACTGAGCTGGGCCCTATTTCCAATACCCAGTGACTCTCAGTACCTCTTCCTGGTTCTGTTTTGCAATATTTTACAGCCCTTTATCAACAGAACCGACAGCAACCAAGCTATTAAAGATGACTTGCAGCTCTCCAACCCTGCGCACGCACAGATGGCTCGCTCTGCTCTGCATGGAGCAGGGCTGCGTGGTGACGGGCGGAGCTGAGGGGGCTTGGCTGGAGGCTGTGCACCTGGGTGCCGCTTCCCAGAGCCCAGGCCGTTCTCAGGGGATGCTCTCCCTGGAGCTGCTGGACGCCTTTCCTGCACTCAGCTCCAGGCCTGTGGGGCACAGGGGGCACCCCTGAGAGATGAGGCTTGGCTTTGCCTGGGGTGCAGTCCACCTCCCTAGCTAGGCCCCTCCTTCACAGCACAGTACCCCTCAGGGGCCAGCGGTAGCCCAGCCCACCAGGGTGCGGACCCCGAGGCCCCGGGCCGCCCCCTGGCAGTGGGCTCGCTTTAAGAACCACCCCTCAAGCGCCGACCTGGCGTCCTCTTGCCGGCTGTGCAGACGCTGCGTGCCCACCAGCACTCGCCCGTGAAGCAGCAGCCCCTCCCGCTGGGCCTGTTTCCTGTTTCCCTCATGGCCGGGGCTCCACAGACCAGGAGCCTTTCTCCCAGAAAGCTGCAGGTGCCCCGGCACATGGGGGAGGGTTAGGAGGGGTGCGGGGCCTCAGCTTCCAGACCTGTCTCCCTCACTCGGGCTGGCGCCTTGCTTCCCTCCTCCGCATCAGGATGAGATGGCCTCAGTGGCCCACACATCACTTGTGGCCAGAAGCCCAGCCCCCGCGCAGCCACCTCTCGGTCGCAGGAGACCACTACCGTGTTTGCCGTGTGGGCACTCCAGGTGGCTTTGCCCTGCCCTGCTTGGTCTGAGGCACTCCATGGAAGTTTTTCAGTGGGGTTCAGCGCTTGACAATCTCTAGAACATGCCCGTAAACCCGGCTGCCACCACCACAGTTTGAGCACTGAGCCCAAGATCTGCCTCCTGACCCCAGCCTGGAGACCCGTGTTTCTGGGAAAAGATTCAGATGGAGTTCCTGGACCCTCTTTTCCTCTTCTCTACCGTCCAGCATGGGGGGCCAGTCCCAGGAGCCCAACTGGGTGAACCCCATCAGCTCGGTGCCCTGTGAGGCTCACCACCACCTCTGAGCCGGGACCTGTCTCCTGGCTGGTCGTGTGCCATGAGGTGCCAGCACCCGGCTGGGGTCACCTGTGCTGGAGGCTTGCCTAGAGCCTCCCTCCACCCTTCATCAGTCTGATCATGGCAGAACCACACCAGTCAGCCAGCACTGAGCCAGGCATGACAGAGGCTCAGGTCCTCTGGTCAGCTTGGACGTGCAGGACCCACCTCCACCATGACCGGCCCCGGGCCCCAGGCCCAGGGAGGTAGACAAGGGATGGGGGAGCCAGCCAGGTTGTCAAGAGGAAGGCTGCTGGGCCCCTGAGTTCTTTGTCCAGTGATCCAGCAGGGGCCACAGCCTGAGGCAGCCGCTCAGGAGGAGCGGAGGGGCCCTCTGTGGCCCACGTTCCGTAGACCTCAGTATCTGAAGTGACTTGGAGGCCTCGGATGTGCTGTCCCGCCGCACCACCCGCGCATGACCTCACCCCTCGTGGAGGGTGCTCTTCAGCCTCCTGGTTGTTCTCCACCTGGCACCTTTCTCAGTGGCATCACATCCCCTGACTCTTCTGCCTGCTGACTTGCCTGTTACTCTTGCTTCTCGCCTCCCTTCAACCCTCAGACCCAGCCTACACCACTGACCTGCTGGCCATAGGCTCCTTGAGGACGCCCTCCCCCACTCTGCTTACGCTACCTCAGGCCCTCATGGGGACCTGCCCAAGGTGAGGTTCCCCACTCCTGGGCACCCTGGAGCACTCCCGCGGATGAAACCCTTCTCTCCTCGTTCCTAGCTCATTTTATCACACACAGTTGACAATGTTTGAGGCACTGCCTCCCTTGAACAGATGGGGCCTCTGGAAGTCCAGCCCTGGCCTGGTTAAGATGGGGTGCCCTGGGAAATGGCGAAGAGGGAACAGCGGCAAATCTCCTGACAGGCCAGCAGGAAATAGCTAGAAAGGGCTGCAGAGCCTCGTTTCTCAGGTTGGGGTGAAGCCCGGGGGCACAGAGGACAATGCCCACCCTGGTCAATTAGAGGCAACTAGAACTCCAAGCCCAGTCTCCAGACATTGCAAGGAGGCCTGTGACTGAAGTGCTGAAGAGAACCTGGCAGCCCGGGGAAAACCCAGATCCAGATTGCACAATGCCAGCCCTGCCCCCATGCCAACTCGCCCCACAGGGAAGGTCCAGGGAGGACTGCTGGGCGGGCGGGGGGGGGGGGGGGGGGGGAGGTGGCAGTCTTCTGCCTTCTCTCCCCTCTCACACTGTCACACTCCCCACCAGCAGCGCAGAAGCTCAGACTTGATAATGATCTTGGTGGCTTTGGTGAGAAAACAAGCAGCAGGTGGTCAGGGATGTGCAGCGGAGGCCAGGACCTGTGTGCACCTTGACATGCCCTCTGGCATCAGTTTCCTCATCTGTGCCCAGTGTACAGACAAGGACACTACAGCATGTGGTCCCAGCGACTTCCCCAAGTTCTCACAGCAGTGCAGGCCACTGTCCACAGCACCCGCAGGCCCTCTGCCAGGATGTATGCGCCCCTTCCCCAGGCTCTCGCCTCATACCTAACCCCGGCAGCTCCCGACCTTCCTCCAGCAGGAAGTGCGCAAGAGGAAGACCAAGATCCGCAGAGAGAGGGCCCTGGGATTCAGACTGTAGTTACCCAGTGGGTTTACAAATCCCATGGCCTGCGAGGACCGCGTGGTGCCAGGCTGCCCACCTGGGTAGGGTCAGGGAAGACAGATGACATCATTCACCTTCCAGTGCTAACGGACTGGGAAACGCAGGACCAAGGCACTGGACTACAGCGTTCCACTTGAGGCCACATGGCGCTGGCATGCGGATATGCACCCAGTTACTATCTAGTACTCCCAGAAGTCAAAGGAAGCTGGGATGGTAATGGCAGTATAATACAAAGTGACTTTGAGGACAAAGAATAATTCCTTAGGGATAAAGAGCAACATTTCCAAACCCATGAGAACATACCATTCTTAAAATGTGTCTGTACCTGACAGCATCAAATTTCATGAATTAAAGCTACGAGAACTAGAGGGAAAACAAGGCAAATCCCTAACACTCAGTAACTGACAGAAAATCAGTCAGGATATAGAAGATATATAGGATATATAACCATTAACTTGAACTGATGGGTATAGAGCATTTCACCAACAAGAACACTTTTCAAGCATTCAGACATCTACCAAGCTAGCAATAGTTGGGCCATAAAACAAGTTGGGACCGAACTTTAAATGATGTAAATTATACACAGTATGATTTCTGACCAAAACGACGAGAGTAACAGAAATTTATATAGAACACCCCCAAGTATTTTAAACTATACTTTCGAAACATCTAGTTTTAAACCGATCACTGAGTGCTGCAGGAAGAGTAACGAGCGGCCAGGGCCACGGCTGGGAAGCCTTGACCACGTGTCTGCTGCTGTCCCAGTGAGTGATGAGGGGTCATGGGCCAAGCGTCAGTGCTGCAGGCACCAAGGGTCAATTTGGAATTGGAAGATTTACTGGTGGTTTGGGCACTGAGCTCAAAGATCACACAAAGATTCTGTTTGTGCAAAACTGATGAAGGTTTGGAGCTACCATTTATGATAGGAAACACTTAGGAGAGGAAGGCTTGAGGGAGAGGAGGTAAACCTGTTTGGGGGTTGATCCTCACACAGGTGTTAGACTGAACAGAGTTTGAGCACAGCTAGAAAAGGGAAGCAGAAGTGACCTTTAGGGTACCTCAAACTCAGAGATTATGAGAATGGCATTGAGGTGTATAGAACACCCAGGTAAAATGGGGTCCTGAAAAGGGGAGGAAACAAGCATGACCAGATCATTAAAATTCATCACTGTTACTAGTTTTTGTCTGGGGGTAAGGATGGATTGGGGAGCTGAGGGAAAATGGGTATCTTTCTTGGGGGTGAATGTTAGTGTGGGAGACCAATTATACCTCAAAGCTGTTATGAAAAATTGATTGCTGGACACAACATATGGAGGTCACCATGGATGTTTAACAAAGCAGTTTTGGTAGAGTGACTGCAGCAAGAGCCTGACTGAAGGGTTTAAGCGAGAGTGAAGGAAAGAAATAGTGAAGTTAGGGAATCAACTCACATTTGTTAGGAATGATCTAGCAGAGAAGCAGATTGGGGAGGCAAGATAAACAGTGATGAGTACTCACGGGGGCCTCCCTGGTGGTGCAAAGGGTTTGTCTCAGCACTGTGAAGCTATCACCAGCCGCTGCAGCAATAGTCCGATCCCCGGGCAGCGGGGTGACCCACATGGCACAGCAGACCTGTCTCCCCACTGTTCCCCTCAGCAGCGTACTTCGTCAGTCTGCCTGTTCTGCTCCCAACTGTGTCTGGTTATTCCTCTCACCGCCCCTGCATCTTTGGCCTGTACCCCAGTTCCATATGCGTAAATAAATCTTAAAAAAAAAAAGGCCCAAAATGGTAATTTTTATTTTCAAAAGGCATTCACAACTGCTAGAGTTTAGGTTAGAAAGAACGGACCTTGGAATCATGCTACCTGGAAGGGCAGGACAGAAATACATACAATGGTAGGAAGGTAGAAGTGGGAGCTTGAGGCAGTTTTAATTGCTTTAGTTGATTCAATTACTAGGGAGCATGGTGAGCAGCCTAATGGGGAAAACAGGAATTTGGGGAATGCAGCATACTTAACGGCAGTCCCAGGGCCCACTTGAGACCTACGCTAGTAAGTTTAAAGCAACAACAGCCATGATTGTTATTTTTTCAGTCACATCCGCTGGTGCAGGTGTGCAGCGTGGCCAAACCCAGCTGCAACTCCCCAAAGCTGAATTCGCGAGAAGAAACACAGGGAACACGATTTATATTGCTGAACACCAATATACTCTTTATTATTTGGATTCTTTTTCCCATTTGTCACATACCTGTCAATGTTTACACAATGAGGAAATCAACCAGCAGTGGAAGCAACCAACCAACTCAGCTGATAATTCTGTACCCTCTTAACACATTAACTCTTAATGGTAGGGATAGCTTTGATTCGTTCTCACGGTTATTCTTAACATCGGTGTCAAGATTGTCGCATCTTTAAATACAGATAGAACTGCCAGAAGTACATAATTTTATATTTATATTTATATTTATATATATATATATACACACACACACACAGGTATATGTATATATATATACACACACACATACAGAAAAATACAAGACTAATTGTTCTTCCCACAATATTTAATTTACACACTACTGTAACTATATGCAACTTCTGAAGACAGGTTAAGGGGTACAAGAAACTGTTTAGAGCAAGTAAGTAGTTTGGTCCAATATTATATTAACGTAATGGTTATTCGCTCCCTCCCTTTTATGTGTGGACATACTATGACATACAACACATGCACAATCATTCACTTAATGAACAAATGAGTAAGACGCCACTCAGACTAACATTGTATACCCAGAGGGTCAACCAACCACACACAACTAATAAGGCTATAATACAGCTATGCAGCATAATGGTCAACACTGCTGATCCTAAAGTGAGCACCATATATACATCTGAATATAAAAAACTGAATCTGAATCAAAAATCAAACACACATGGGTTAGTTAAAAGGTGCCATTCCAAGGCTTTACATAATCACAGGAAAAAGTATTTACATTACTTGGAAAACAGCTGCAACAAAGAGTTTATTGCCAATGCCCTTTATAAACTTCTCTCCTACGTTTAATACAGATGTTACGCTCACTATCTATGTGAACCACACATCTTATTTCTGGCCCTTTTATAAGATCCCTGCTCAAGAATTTCAAGCAAATATGTTCTATGGCTTCACCCACACGTCTATTCTCGTAGCTTTCAATTATAAATATCACAATGAACTAGAGCCGTAGCTTAAAACATGTCTAGCCTAGGTCTAGAAAGTAAAATAGGTATTTTAGCATCATCTTCACTTAGTTCAGTAGGTTTACTGTGAATGCAGAGTTCTGAGGAAAACACGTGGTCTCCTACGGGTGCAGCCGGCGTGTCCTTGGAGAAAGCGAGACCATGGAATGCGGTCCTTGGCGCCTGCCACTCCACGGACCGGGTGCCGGTCACTGCAGAGACGTGAAGGGAGGCTGATGAGTGTGGGTGAGCTCCGGGGCCCAGCCCCATCTTATCACCAACGTTGCTAAGCGTTTCTTTTAAGACTCCCCCAGGGCACAGCATGAAACCGTAGTCTCTGGCCCCTTCCAAAATGAGCAATATACTGTGTTCATAAAATGCCACAAAAGACGACTATCTGGTCAAAAGTAGTCTTCGTATAGGAATAGTTTAAAGCAAGAGTTCTTTGATTATTGTTTTGGCAGGAAGGCAAAGTGAAAAACACTTAGCAAAAAAAATAAAAATTTTTAAAAAAAGCCAACCAAGCAGATTTTGTGTATTTTTGTTTGTATATGTGAATTTTATCCCTTTACGTGATTTCGATCAGCCATTTTTCACAGCTAGCTTAACTAGAGGATGTAAAGTAATGGAACTAACAAGAGACAAGTCCTAAAAATCAGATCCCAGTAAGTTTTCTGAACTTACTGGGCTCTGACTTTGCCAACCTCTGTGTGCGCCTATGTTCCTGTGCTGGGTCTGCCAGTTTCTTCTCTCTGCGCAGTTTTAAAGGAAACCCGGGCATGCGCCCTACAGGAAGGAATTTACACTGAGCATCTTTTTGTTCTGTTAGACAGACATACACTCTATAAGTAGAGTTAAGACCATCAGTTCACTTTATCACATTACAAAATAAGATTGTCTAGTTGTAATTTATCACTACGGGGGAAGCTGCCTTATAAATCTAAGTACTTTATCTCACCTATTACAAAACAAGAAAATCTTTTTCTGTTCAATTTTAAGAGCCCAAACTTTTTTTTTCACACTGTAGCTTAAGACAAACAGGTGTGGGTATGCTGAAATCACGGTTTTAAGGTTCTCAGTGCAGACGCTCGCTGTCCTCTGCTCTGCACAGGCCTTACGAGGCCGGGCGTGCCCGCGCGGCCCAGGCCTGTTGGCGTCACGACATTATTGCTTTGGTTCTGTCTCAGAGTGTGACCGCGGAGTGTGCCTCAGAGCACGGAGTTTCCGTATCACAGAAGGTCAGGACAGGAATTTAGATTTTTCACAAGGAAACAAAAGCATTTTTTTCCTTTCTCTAGGTTAAGTGCAGAACATCAAATTTCTAAGTGCTCCATTTATATTAGGTTCCAAATATACATTTTAATTTAATCTTGATCATCCACATGAAAATTATAAATGTAAAAATGACACAACAGACTTTCGGCTGGAAAAGAAAAGTAGTGTCTAGCAGCATGCACAAGGACCATGCACTGTCACCGCGGCAGGCGAGCAAACCAAAAATAATAAATAATTGCTTCCAGCGCCCACTTGGCGAGAGAAACCGCAAGGGCCGGTGAAGGAGCGGCCCGCCCCGCGCCGAGCGGCGGGCTGTGGCGCCGTCAGATGACGTGGCAGCAGCTGGCCGGGCTGGAGGCGCACAGCAGCCCCTCCTCGGGGTTCCGCTGGATGTTCACAGAGATGGTCTTTTCACACAGAGGTAGCTGGAGCACGTTATTTCTCAGGTTCTTGCTCTTTATTCGTTCTAACTCGGCGGTGGCGCCTGCCACGTGGTCAGAGAAAAACTTGATGCGGCCCACGGCCGGGGCCTGGCCCGCGCTCCCTGTGGAGCTGATGCACATTTTCCACGTGGACTTCTCCTGGACTTTGACGCTGGAGAACGACAGGCCGTTCTGCGGGTCAAGAATGTACTTGGCGCCCCCGCGGAGCTGGGAGCCGAGACACAGGCTCATGAGTTTCAGGCTCTCGACCAGCTCGCCCGCGCTGCGCGAGGCCAGCTGCATGGAGTTGCCGGGGCCGGCGCAGCGGCGGCTGCTGCCCGACGTGTTGGTGGGGTTGCCGCCGGAGCCGCTGGCGGGGCTGCCCCCTCCCGCGTTGTTCTCGCCGGGGCTGGCCTTGTCCGCCCCTCCACTGCCGTTGCTGGGCTTGCTCTGGCCGCCGCCGTCGCCCTCACTTCCGGGGGGCCCCTCACTGCTGTCCCGGCGGTGCCAGGAGTAGGTGAACCCGCTGTCTTTGTCAAGCCGCCGTCGGCTCTCGGAGTCGTCATCGCTGGTCTCCGAGCTACTGCAGCTGGAGCCTCGGCCCTGACTTTTCCTCCGGTGGTAGCGCTTGTGAACTGTCCCGGGAGAAGCGATGTTCATCTTTAACCTGCTCAGCTTGGGAGGCAGGTTCTCATCCATGTCAAACTCGTCATCCGACTCCCCCTCCTCAAAGATCTGGTTGAGCACAGGCGCACTCTTCCTCGACGTCAGCCGGTTGGTCACCGAAGGCTTCCGGCGCAAAACCACCTGTGTTGAGAGGGACATGGGCTTCTTGTCCTCTTCATCTTCTTCTTCATCTTCTTCCACCCGAAAGAGACACTTCCGCCCACTGGCCGCGGATTTCAAGCCTGCAGGCGGCACCGTGGCCAGTGCTGGTCCAGCCAACTCAGGGAGGTCATCTTTCTTCGCTGCGTCACACAGGCCTTTACTCCTGTGGCCGTTGAGGACATTGTCGGCAGCCCGGGCAGGAGACTGAGGGACCGTCGTGTGGGACAAAGGAGTGGCGGTGAGGTCATCCTCAAGGTCCTGGGGCACATCGATTTTGGTTGGCCATGACTGCCTGTGTAACAGATTGGGGGGAAAGTCATGTAATAACATGCAGATTTTAGTAGGGCATATTCTATATTCTATAAAACTTACTAGGACAAAATCCACAGACTTAAAAGAAAAAAAGAAAAGAAAAGAAAAATGAACCCAGCAGCCCATACACCCTTTCAACATCCTGTAAACACCAGCAAGAACACCAGAAAAGCAAGTGTGGTTTTGAAACATCATTCAGCCTGGCTTGCTGGCCCCATGAAGAGTTCATCACGCTACCAGAGGAGGGCCGAAGAGCTACTCCATCTCTTCTACACTGCCACAAGAAAAACATCTGGGTATGCCAGCAGCCAATTAAACTAAATATAAATATGATTTTAAAATGCCCACCCAAGAATACTGAATAGTGAAATCCATTATTATTTAAACTGTGATTTCATTCCCCAGTCACACAACAAGAACACAAATTAAAGAAAAAGAAGACAATTTAAAAAACAACTTATGGAAATGGAGTCTCTAGCCTATTTTGTAAAAACACTGGAATTCTCAACGGTCCTCGCTAAACAGGAACATCTAAACAGTGACTTCCATGCTGTGATGGTTTCACTTCACACCAATTACACTATCCTAGAATAAATCCTAATTCAATCTGTAACTTTAAAAACCTCCCAGAAATGTAAACAGACCTTTTCCCCCTTCCTCAAAGTCTTATTCTCTCCAGAAGGTGGAGCGGGTCTGTTCACTGCAGTCACTCCTTTGTGGTTTATGACTGTAGAGTACTAAAAACAACGCAGTAAAGTAAAGAAGTGTCTCCGGACAAGTCCTCTACGCTCCACCAACACAGCTTCACAAACTCCTGGTCGCCGCGTGGCCTGGAAAGCTGCCCACCAGGTTCCTTTCAGTTTGCTCCTGAAAGCACTTGCTCAAATCCTCACCTAGCAAGCCCTGACAAGTCCTGTCACCCACCAGAGTGGCGGCCGATTCACTGAAGGAGGGGCACAGACTCGCCCCTGCTCCGCCCCAGCCTGAGAGGAACTGCTCTCCCACACTCACCCCAGAAAACATGGCTAAGCCTGCTGCTGCCCTGGCCGTGCTATCGGCTGCTCCTGAACTAGTAACCCAGTAGGAGTAACTCAAACTGTTAGTGACTCACACTTACTCTGCACATATATGCACCAAATGCTGTTCGGGCCTGAACCATCCTTACAGCACCTGAGAAAACCATGGCTTATCTCAATGAAAGAGAAGATCACTGGAAGAATTACTAGAACCAGCACTGCTCTCATGAGTGTTCCAGCTACTCACTGCTGTGAGGATCCAGTGGGGAAATCCAGTTCATCCACCACAACTCCGTGAAGTCGGTGCTGTTGTTATCTCCCCTTTACACAGAAGTCAAAAGACAACGTAACCCGCCACGTAACTCAGGCTTGAAGTGACATCTTGGTTGGGTTCTGTGGTTACCAAGCCAGAGCAGTGGCCCCACTCTGCAGCCTGTGAGCCCTCTGAGAGGATGCTCCTCCTGTGCTGAGGTAGCTCCCCAGAGGGCTTCACAGCCTCCTCGAATAGACCACAACAGGCTTCCAGCCCTCACTGACAGGATCCAATGCAAGCAAAGACCAAAGACTGCACTGAGGCTGGCTTTCACTGGCTTGACTGCCCAGCCCTCTCCCCAGAACTGTGGGCTTGAACATCAATCTCTGGACCCCGTAAAGATTTCCACATTCCAGGTCACTCTGGCTCCAAGGCATGCCCAGCAAGTTAGGTCCTTGACAATAACTCAAGTTTTGTTATTAGGGTTCTGACAATAAGTCACAGTGACAATAAAGAGGTGGCAAGCAAGAAGATATCCACCAACCGCCAGCGGCCCTGGTCGAGGAGGAGGAGGCGCGTCCTCAGTCTCCACTCCAGAACCCCCAGGGTGGCAGGAAGGCAAGCACGTGCATACAAGGCTCTGCCATTTCTTTATAGCTCGGTTGGTTTTGCAGTTCTATAATAAAGGAACACAAATTTAACTTATTTTCCTATCTGGCCAACTCTGGAATGAGTTCTGATCTGTTTCACTTAACAGAGAATAGTTTAAATCCAAATAATCTCTTCTCAAAAGTCTGGGACGGCTCCAGCCAGACTCAGTGGCCTGGAGTGTGGCAGCTGTGCTTGAAGCTGTTGGTATCCACCAGAGGGCTCAGGCCAGGCCTATGCTGGCCGAACCTGAGGCCCGAGTGTCCCCTCTCTCCCTGCGGTCCTCCCCCACGTGGACAACAAGAGCATGCCGATTTTTCATTACAGAAGAATATACCCAGGATATACAAGAAATTACTAATTTCATTTCCAATGAAGCTAGAATCCTGTCTTTATCCTTTACCCACCCCAAAATGCTTTTTTTTCCTCTTTTCTGTCACTCCAACCCAAGTAACAACCTACACACTGCAAGCTGATTGTAAGTGATCTGAAATCCAATGATTTTCTTTCTCTTTTAAATAATCATGATTACACAACTCACTACACACACTCACATACATAGCTGAATGGATCAATATAAACAGAGGATTATTCAGATTCAGGAGCATCCAATTCTATGGATTAATTTCTCTGAATAAAGACAAATTTCAGAGATTTCATAATCATGACACAAAAAGTAACCATGCTTCAATCTAAATGGACGGCTACAAGAAAAGCAGACATACAAGAAAAGCAGGGAGGCAGGGGAGAGGAGACAGTGAAAGGGAAAAAAGAAGGGCAGAGAGCACATACAAACCTCATTGAGCTGTTCGGGTGCAGGACAGTCACCACAATGACAGCAAACACAGGTATCCCAATTTGAAGAACTTTACACGTATTAATGCACACGCCCCTCACCACAACCCCCAGAGAGGGAACATGATTATTCTATTCCACAGGTCAGGAAACTGAGTCAGAGAGATTAAGTGATTTCCCAAAACTCAAGCAGCCAATAAATTCTCTAAGTTAACCCATCATATCCCTGAAATCCTGCGATGACATCATGGCACAAATATGCTATGCATGTCTTTTAAAATTATTTTAGGTTACAAGGTTAAGGAGAACTTGACCTTGTCCCTGGAATAAAAAAAAAAATTAAAAAGAAAAAAAATGAATCGCTGTAGGTCAGACCTAGAACAACTGAACGAAAACCCACGGCCCTCATGCTCGTGTAGACCCTGTGTGGTTTCTCCAGTGAGGCTGTCATCACCATTTTCACTCTCACCCCACACAATTAGGAAGCATTTAAACAAAAACAAAACAAAATAAAACAAAAAAATAAAGGGAAAATTCACTATTTCAAAATGTTAACTTACTATAAAATCAGTGAAGTTTTTTTTTTCTCACCTAAACTGGGCCTTAATATTGCTAGGACTTGCAGATCTGGTCTGTATTTCTTTCTCTTGCTTTTCCCTCAGGATCCTTTCAGCAAGTAAGAAGTAAGTAGCTGTGATGTGATTATATCTGTTGGTTTCCAGGGCTCTGAGGAAAACAAAGGGAAGAATGAATATAAGTTACATTAGCAGATTTTTACCAGTAGAACAGATTTTTTTTAAGTACATGCACGTGAAATGATTTGGAGTCTTTTAAAATTATGAAAATAAAATTATGAAAAAAACGCAATCAAGGAAAAAAATTCACAGATCATTTTTTAAATTCCAAAAACCCACATAAAGCTATTGACATGAAAAATACAAATGCTGCTGGTAACAGAATGTGGTGTTTTAGACATATAAGAAAAGGCAATGAAGTTTCTGAGAATGTATACAGTATCCAAAAATTTCACCTGTACCAAAGAGTTTACTGTTGTTAAGCTGGCTTGCTTGCTTCCATTAGATGCATAAAATTAATTGTATAAATGTGCATTTAAAATATTAATGCCAATCAGAAAAATTAGGATAAATTTCTTATACACTGCATATACTGGCATTTTAGACATTAATGAATTATTAATGTAATTGAGATTTTGCCATTTATCTCTTCTGAATTAAAAATCAAAGCATTTATTCACTTCTTTCACAGTAATGGTTGCCTCGGGACCTTTCTGGCAGGTGCCCACTGGAGATGCTGGGTGAAGCGCACGGGGCACACAGCCGCCCACCCTCTCGCAGTTGGCCTGTTCGGCACATCACCCCAGAGTACCACAAGCCTCACAAGGCCCAGAAACGTGACACTGTGCTTTTCAAAAACATCCTGGAGTTAGTGAAAATGAACCCAATGAACGCGTGGGAAAGAAAAGGTACGGAAATCACTTTTCACAAAATATACAGTGGGGTCAGAGCTAATGGAGACAGTGCAGGCTGGGGTGTGATTCCAAAGAGCCCAAGGTGAAACTGAGAGCTCAGAATGACTGTTCACAGCAGTTTCTTTAGCTGTGCACCCGATCGAGTCACTGCTTGTGTTGCAGGTATCAACAAACCTCTCTTTAAACTCGGGAATCACCTGCAGAATATACTGGAGGCAGCAAGAGAGCTCGGGTGTCCTAGCAACATCTTCACTGGGGCACTTACCCATGTGAAGGGCAGGCACAAGGTATCACCTGAGCAATCTCTTTGGCTCTGTACTTAAATTGACAGGAATTAAATAGTTCTCTATAATGCTACTGCATGTTTTCATTTAACCTAAGCATATTAAGTCAATGTAAGGAGATACAAATCATCTTTAGCCACTCAAGAATGAAAATTCACTTTCTCTACATCCCTAAAGGGAGTCTTTGGCAGGAACAGTAACTACCCTGCTCGTCCTGTTCGTTCGGGCCATTTAAGTAGCTGTGGGTTGGTCTGTGAAAACTCACAATGCCCTTAGAAACCTGCAGACACATGCATTTAAACCTGGTTTCTGACCCTGGATTTATTTCATCAGTCTTCCTTTCCAGTGTACTAAAAACACTTCGAGAGTGTGTGTCCGTTATGCAGGCACCACCCTGCTGGGGCAGGGCCTCCTCGGTGCTCTTGTGGCAGTGCTGCAGTTTTGCAAAACCTCCTTGCAGTAACTGGGGCAAAGCACTCAGTCGTGCCAGAGAGGCCCACTGGTAGAAACCTCTTTTTGCCCCTGGGTTATGTCCTCTTTTCATTATATCCAACTGTTGCATTCAACAAATTAACTTCATTTGTGAAAATGTTTTGCTATGTTTATAGACAGGGTCACTTAAAAAATGAATCTTTGTTAAAAATCTACAAAGAGCTAACAAAACTCAACAAAAATAAAAAAACAATCCCATCAACAAATGAGCAGAAAAGCTCAAAAGACATTTCTCCAAAAAGGAAACTCAAATGGCCCCCAAGCATATGAAAAAATGTTCGACATCACTTGTAAAAAGGGAGATGCAAATTAAAACCACAGTAAGATACTACCTCACACCATGAGAATGGCCCATATTAAACAAGCTAGCAACAACAAATGCTGTCAAGGGTGTAGAGAGAAAGGAACTCTCCTGCACTGCTGGTGGGAATGCAAGCTGGTCCAACCACTGTGGAAAGCTATGTGGTTTCTCAAACTGCTAAAAGTGGAGCTTCCGTGACTCAGCAATGACCGAGGAATCTATCCAAAGGACACCTGCACCCCTATGTTTATTGCTGCTCTATCTACAATAAGGAAGATATGGAATCAACCCAAATGCCCTCCAAAAAATGACTGGATCAAGATGTGGTACATATACACTATGGAATATTCTCAGCATTCAAAAAAAATAAACTTATGCCATTTGTGGCAACATGGAGGGAGCTGGAAAAGATCATGCTTAGTGAAATAAACCAGAAAGATGAAGAAAAATTACTGGATGGTTTCACTCATAGCAAGAGTGTAAGGGATCAGAAAAAAAAAAAAACTAACTGTAATAAAATACAAGCTAAAATCAACAAACAACTATAAACCAGAGACATTCTACAGGGGTGGAGAGGAGAATGGAATCAAAACTAGGGTGGGAAGAGCACACGGGACTATGGTGATGGGAAGTCCATGGGGATTACAACCGAGTTGAAAAAATGTACAAAATAAAGAATGATGTAAAAAAAAATTTTAAAAAGATGAAAAAAAATGAAATGAATCTTTGTTAAAACAAAGCACATGCATCTCTTTTTGTCCCCTCAAAACTACATCTCTATATTTCTCTTGACTCCAAACTTCTTGGGTTATTAAACTCTGGTTTTGGCTTTAAAGAACTTATTTGGTGGGCCCCAGGCTTCTGCAGCAGGGTCTGTAAGGGTCACAGAAGCATGTACTCTGGGTTCTGTGGCGCCCAGTGCAGTCACTGTGGCCAGTGAGGGTTTACTTACAAGAACGTGTGACTGGCTTGAGAAACCAATCCCTAACTTAGAGCACTCTTAAGTGTGTTGTACTGCCCCATTCTCCCTGTTCACTGCAAGGACTCAGGGGAGACACAGGAACAAAGGATTCAAGGAATGTTCTAGGAAACAAAATAGGCTACTCTGTCCAGCCCTGGAGGAAGGAACAAAGGCCAGAGCAGTCACTGATACTACCCAGACATGACTTACTTGTTTACGAGTACAAAAACAAACACAACAAAACCTATGAGCCAGGCAATGGGTCGGGAGCTCTAGAGATAAATGACAAAACCCTTCTTGCCAATTAGCAACTCTGTCCATAAAGCAGTGGCCACAGGCCCGGATCAGCTGGGGACCCATTCCAAGAGCCCTCAGCCCATGCCCCTCCATTAACGAGTGCTGACATACTCTACAATGGCGTCTCGATCCGCTATGTCCCCAAGCACCATGCGCTGAATGATGCTGTTGTGCTCTTCTTCTGAGAGGTTTTTGTATGATACAAGCGGGATGTTATACTTTGTGGCTGGTGAAGGGTCTACTCCCTGAAGCCAAGGATGGTTTTCAATCTCTTCTAAAGAAGCTCTTCTCTTGGGATCTCTCTGTAGCATCCGTGTGATCAGGCTGCAAAGGAAGTAAGTCCACTGTTAAAGTTAGCTCCTGAAGAGGTTATTACTTGTGGTTACTTTATTCAAATTTATTTCCCCCATTTATACATCAATTTCATTAGGTACACTAGTGGTGGTGATGGGGCAGATGGGAATAAAGAAGATTTATTAGTACCACCAGATTGAGCAACGAAAAATCACAACCTCCAGCTATGTTGATAAATCCAATACACAACTACAATTTCCTATCATTTAGCATTAACTCTAGGTATCAGAATTTACCTTTGAATTAACTGTGGCTTGGTGGCATACCAGAACCAGACACAGTATCAGTGGTGACTGATATTGGTCCTCACACAATTTTATGGTCCAAATTAGTAAGTCTGAACACTCAAGTTCTTATCCATACCACCACATAGCCTAACACGGTATCAAAAGATCCAAGAAAAGATTCCTCAAGCTATCAGATTTCCTTCTTATCAGCTAATGGAAGTAATTCAAAATCCTTTAAGTTAAAGGGCTGTAAACTTTAGTCATTATTACTAAAATATACCAACCATAATGTCAATGAAATACTAAACTTCTGACAGTTATTCTATTACATTAATTTTTCATTATACATATGATAGTTACTATAAAGTACTTTAAAGTTCAAAAATTCAACTTGCACATATTTTGGCTGCTGGCTTCCCATAGCCACATAAGTCAAAAGAAAGTTCTCTGGCTCAACTGGGAGGAGTGTGTAAATAAAATGAGATCAGCTATGTAAATCCTAAAATGGTATGTTGATGGTCTATTTCAGGAAAGAAAATGCCCTAACTCTCCGGAACTTAAATAACTGCAGGTGGTCTTGCTTTCTGTGAATGCAATTTCCATGAAAGTAATCACCTTTTGTGAAGATGAAGAGGCATGTATGTAATGGGTTTCTTGGAAACAGGCACATTTAAGACATAGACTAATACAGCCTGTACTTTAACACTAAACTTCAAATTACTCTGGGACTAACCCACCAAAATATACTTAAAAGAGTAGTAGAAATATTAAATTCAAAAATTAAAATGAAAACAAATCCTCAGACATTATAATCACCTCAATTTTTTTACACGTTAATGGAATAAAGTAAAATTTCTGAGTGCTTAAGGTTTTCTACATGCTTTATTTTTTACTTACTCTTTACATTCTTTAGACACATGGGACGGTACTGTATATTTACAATCCATAATCATTGTCAATGTTTCACTGTCATTTGCCTCTTGAAAGGGTGGCTGCCCACACACCAACATGAAAAGAATCACTCCCAGACTCCAAATATCTACAATCAAAGACACAGTGTTAAATATGGAACTGTTTTGAAATCCCAAAATACTAACATAAGTAAAAATAGACTAACAATATTATTTTAAACAGTCAAAACCACTCATATTTCAAAGTATAAACATCTAAGGAAGCAAACTTAAGCCTGACAGGGCAGGGAAGGTATTTGTCTTGTTCACCGTTTCTGTGTCCGATGAAGGTCACCCAAGTGCCAGGTACACGGCGAATGATCAATTCAATGAGGAGATGCATTAATTCATTTCCTAACAATAGGAAGGTCAACTGGAAAGGACCCATCAAGAGTCCCCAAGCACTGGATAACACTGCTGTTTCTGCATGACACTTTACTATACAGAGGTAAAACTGAGACATGCAAAGGATTTTGCCTACAAAACCCTTTACCTCAGTTGTTCTTTACCTCAGTCCTGGGGAGCTAACCAGATCATGTAACTTATAGTCATTATACAGACTTGAAAACTGAAGTTCAGAGAGGAAAAGGTGAGAAGAGCGTGGAAGGAGTCTATATTGTTTTTTCCAGTAAAAAAAAAAAGTCACTGGCAATGACTTCAGATGAAAGGTACACAGGTTAACACACACTGATCACTGAAAACTCAAACCTAGTGCTATGACTATCTGAAGCATATGGTTTTATTGCAGATCTAGTTACAGGCTCTTGATTTACAAAAAAAAAGGGGAGGGGGGAACAATATAGTTCCTTGGTTAAATCTTTCAACTCAAAGAACTGTGGGAGTGGATAGAAAGAAAACAGACGTTTCAATGGTGGGAGTCACTGGCTTTCCTTTCCAGCAGTTCTCAAACTAGCTGGAAATGAGAGTTCAGAAATGAGTACTGAAGCCTCATCTGCCAACATTCAGTAAGTGAATTTTCAGAATACAATTGGCGTACGCTATTTCTGGAGTTTGGGAGGTGGAATCTATATTACAAAATTCATTTTTAGGCAAGTTAGCAAAAGAGTAAAATGTAAATTAGACAGAATAAAAGGACATACTAATAATTAATTTACGGAAAAGCAGTTGCCAAAGGGGGAGAAAGGTATCATGACTGCCAAGTGATTTTCTAAAAAAATCATTTCCGAACTGGATTACCTAGATAGCAAAAGAAAGAGCAAGAATTAGAAAGTGGTAAGAATGGAAAGACCAGAAGAAAGGTTGTAGGAAGAAGCCTCGACTTTTTCCTCTTTTATCAGTGTAGCCAGGAGTCAGCAATAGGAACAGAATGTTCTAAACCCACTGCAGATAGAGCAGGGAGGGACCTTTTACTATGCCCCTTGCAACCGGCAGGATTTATGTAATCACTTTTTAGTTCCAACTGTGGTCACCAACAGCTGACATATGACCCTAAACTATGTAAAAAGCAATACATTCTTAGAATAACAAGCACTGTTACTGCAGAATTGGGACCTGGGAGCCATTTAACAAAACTAGGACCTCGCTTTTTTGTATCATCAGAAACCTAATCACTACAGTTCTTGATCGAAGACCAGGGACTGGTTCTACAAGACACGACTGGAGACAACTGTGAAACCAGGAAACTGCCAGGTCATGCTGAAGTAACAGTGTGAGATCAGGGCAGAAGGGGAATGAAATATGTGTATAAGTCCACATTATTCCTGGTTCTAGCAGTACTCTAGTTAGCAGCTAAGTCTTATTACTTAATAAGAGGTCATTTCTTTTCTTTAAAAAAGAAATGTGAGAATGAGTGTCATTACCCGAAACCTACTACAAAAAAACAAAACCAACATAAAAACCTTTCCCAGACCAAAATCCTTCTAAATGTTCCTTGGAACTCCAAAAAACAATGCTACCTAAACAAAGCTTCTCTCTGGTCACCCAAACCTATCTGTCCACACCTGTGTTCTAGGTGGCAGCCAATGGCTCCTACACCCAATCCAACCTTAGGAGATATCCCAAACTCCCCACTCCGTGGGGTCCTGATCTGTGGGCCACAGATCCTGCCGATTCTATCACACGCTTAGTATGCTAGATTTAAATGATTCTCAATCCACCACTGACCCTCATCTTCCAAGAAGTCTTCCCCAAATCTTGTAAGCTAGGCCACCTGGTGACTTCAATCAGTATCATCACGAAGGCCTGTACTTACAGATTTCTCCTGCTGCCTCCATTACACAGCTCCTGGAACAGGAGTGTGACCTTTGCAAGGTGGTGCTGACCTGATGCTGTCTGCTGTATGGAATGGAGCTAAAATGAAAGAGAAAGCAATACTTCTTGCAAATACTGTTTGGGGAGGGTCCCCAAAAGGCAGCTGAAGAGGAGATTTCAAGTAGAGGGGCAGACAGACAAGATGATCCCTTTCAATAAAAGCTAAGAAGAAAAGGCGACTAAAAAATGCCCAGAACAGAGCGTGGCTGGGGGATCATGAAGAGCGGCTGCTGTTTGTTTTAGTCAGATGTTTAAGGCCTTGTGAACATTTGTTTTTTCCAGTCAAAAGAAAACAGGAGAAAGTTCTAAGAAGTCAAAGGTTACCAATCACATACTGTGCAACCTCACACATGCACACAAATCCAAACCAAAGCAGCAGCAGACACCCTTCCAAGTGATTTCAAAAATCACTTTAGAAATCTGATTTGGATCAACAAGTGAGCTTTATAAGAGTTTAAGAGGGAAGAGCTGAGTCAGGCTAACATGTAATAGTTGTGAGATTTCTTTCAATATGGTTTAATGAAAAGAGCATACGTGGGCTAAAGCTTCAGAGAGACCAAGGTTCAAATCATACTTTGGTCACTTAATTAAGCTATGTATTCTTAGCCAAATTACCTGGCTTCTTAGTTCTCTTAGTTCTCTCTTCTATAAATATGCATGCCACCACTTATCTGATCGTTTCTGAGAGGGTGTGTGGGCAAAAAGTGCAGATGCTACAAAGACTGATTAAAAAAGTGGCTGCCTCCAGGTTTAGGAGACTGGTAAAGGAAAGCAAAAGAGATTTTATACCTTTTATTCAATAGAGTTAAGAATTATTTTATACAAACATTTACTTATTGGAAAAGAGGGAATTAAAAGTTAGCAGTGCTTAACAGAATCGTGTTATGTGTACATAGTTCATACTTTAACTGAGTAAGCAATAATCTTTTAACAGGAATTAAAGGTAATTAAAAAAAGAAAGAAAAAGCCCAGAGACAGTGATTCTCAATTCTGTGAGGTTCCCTTGATGGGTTATAGATCAATCTCTCCAGAGGATAGAATTATTTTACAGTAGGAATTATTTTAATTTTTAGCACAAGAACTTCCTTCAAGGATTCAAAAAACTCAAATATTGCATTCACTAATGTTCCATACAAATCCGTAACAGTTTTATAAAATGTGATCAAAGCAGAAAAGGGCAGGTTTCTGGATTCACGGAATTTGCGTAATGCTCAGGTTTTCTGTCAGCATCTTCTTATACAGTGCAGGGAAAGGCCTTAGTCCCAGGACCCAGGAAAGGGGACCCAGGAAAGGCATGGCTGCCTCACCCTCTTGTTCTGGCACTTCTGTGCTTCTGGACAAACCTGAGGTTTTTAAGAGGAAGGTGGCACTAAAGCCAGAGCCACCACTGGACATCCACAAAGAGTATATTCCCACACAAAGTTAGCCTGGATATTCTGGTTGTCTTAAACTTTCTACCAAGACAGAACAACCCCTCAGTGTCTTCCTAGATAGCAGAATGAGGTACAAATTCATACCGCTCCAAAATCAGATGCTTAAAAACACACCTTGTAAAACACCTAAATAATTTCTTTTACAAGTTTATAGGAAAGAAACTCAAGCTTTTATCAAATTTTATTATACCAGTTACAAAGCCTAGAATGTTCACACGTAAGAAATATTTTTTGAAAAGTAGAAACAGGGCCAAGAGCAGAGCAACATCCGTAAGAGTACATTCCGCAACCAACCCCAGCACGATGCTCTGCCATGGGAGTAATCGACTGGAGGAACTACCCTGCTGTGGACACACGTGAGTTTCAAAGGCTTGGAAACAACAGGAATAGGTGACTGAAATTTTAGGTCAAGAAAAGCCCTTTCTACAGCGCGGACAGAAATCCAAAGAAGAATCTTGCAGCCTCAGAAGTTTTTAATGGATCACAAGTTTGTCCTTAAAACATTAAGTTCAGGGCCCACCCTCGTGGCGCAGCAGGTTAAAGCACAGGACTAAGAAGCTAAAGTCACTTCAGCATGAGTTCGATCCCCGACACAGAGGTGACCCAGATGGCGCGGCAGACCTCTCCTGACCCGCCCACTGCTCCCCTCAGCAGTGTGCTTCGTCAGTTGCCCTGCTCTGTCTCAGGTGAATCTTCTCACTGCCCCTACACCTCTGGCCTGTACTCCAGGTCTGTATGCACAAATAAGTAAATCTTTTTAAAAAATTAAAAGGTTAAGTTCAATCAACTAATAAAATATTACAGTTACAAGAGGATCCTATGTGTAATATGTAATCTAAAAACCTGAGGAAAATACAAATAAATATGTAAGAATATAGCTTGTAATGGACATACTTAATGTCCCAAATAGCAACCAGTTACATTCATGTACATGTCTCTTAAGAATTGTGAAGCCAGTTTCAGTTCTCTGAAAACTACCACTGAGTACAAAACTAAGAACCACACCCTGGAACATGGGCTCATACCACCTAAGGGGCTTCCTTGCCATTTACTCAAGTTCTCAGTTCATGTTAAGTCTCACTAAACCGGGAGAATTTCCAAAAATCTGTGAAAAGTTGATACATACAAATTATGTTAATAACATAAAATGTTCTCTAAAAAATTTTATCAAACATACCAGATACTACAGATTACATCTATTTTGATTTTAAAAAATAAAAAGAACACTGCGCCCCCCCCAATGATTTGATATTCCCTATGTGAGCAGCTGTATCTACCATTTTACCTCCCATTACAATCTTTCCCATTACAGTCTTTCCCAGCCAAAGCTGGGACATTTAAAACACAATTAAGGAAAATGAGAAAGAAAAATGTAGTTAAGAGTC